CTGATAGCACAACCCATGGAGCACCTAGTGAGCTGATAGCACAACCCATGGAGCACCTAGTGAGCTGATAGCACAACCCATGGAGCACCTAGTGAGCTGATAGCACAACCCATGGAGCACCTAGTGAGCTGATAGCACAACCCATGGAGCACCTAGTGAGCTGATAGCACAACCCATGGAGCACCTAGTGAGCTGATAGCACAACCCATGGAGCACCTAGTGAGCTGATAGCACAACCCATGGAGCACCTAGTGAGCTGATAGCACAACCCATGGAGCACCTAGTGAGCTGATAGCACAACCCATGGAGCACCTAGTGAGCTGATAGCACAACCCATGGAGCACCTAGTGGCTGATAGCACAACCCATGGAGCACCTAGTGAGCTGATAGCACAACCCATGGAGCACCTAGTGAGCTGATAGCACAACCATGGAGCACCTAGTGAGCTGATAGCACAACCCATGGAGCACCTAGTGAGCTGATAGCACAACCCATGGAGCACCTAGTGAGCTGATAGCACAACCCATGGAGCACCTAGTGAGCTGATAGCACAACCCATGGAGCACCTAGTGAGCTGATAGCACAACCCATGGAGCACCTAGTGAGCTGATAGCACAACCCATGGAGCACCTAGTGAGCTGATAGCACAACCCATGGAGCACCTAGTGAGCTGATAGCACAACCCATGGAGCACCTAGTGAGCTGATAGCACAACCCATGGAGCACCTAGTGAGCTGATAGCACAACCCATGGAGCACCTAGTGAGCTGATAGCACAACCCATGGAGCACCTAGTGAGCTGATAGCACAACCCATGGAGCACCTAGTGAGCTGATAGCACAACCCATGGAGCACCTAGTGAGCTGATAGCACAACCCATGGAGCACCTAGTGAGCTGATAGCACAACCCATGGAGCACCTAGTGAGCTGATAGCACAACCCATGGAGCACCTAGTGAGCTGATAGCACAACCCATGGAGCACCTAGTGAGCTGATAGCACAACCCATGGAGCACCTAGTGAGCTGATAGCACAACCCATGGAGCACCTAGTGAGCTGATAGCACAACCCATGGAGCACCTAGTGAGCTGATAGCACAACCCATGGAGCACCTAGTGAGCTGATAGCACAACCCATGGAGCACCTAGTGAGCTGATAGCACAACCCATGGAGCACCTAGTGAGCTGATAGCACAACCCATGGAGCACCTAGTGAGCTGATAGCACAACCCATGGAGCACCTAGTGAGCTGATAGCACAACCCATGGAGCACCTAGTGAGCTGATAGCACAACCCATGGAGCACCTAGTGAGCTGATAGCACAACCCATGGAGCACCTAGTGAGCTGATAGCACAACCCATGGAGCACCTAGTGAGCTGATAGCACAACCCATGGAGCACCTAGTGAGCTGATAGCACAACCCATGGAGCACCTAGTGAGCTGATAGCACAACCCATGGAGCACCTAGTGAGCTGATAGCACAACCCATGGAGCACCTAGTGAGCTGATAGCACAACCCATGGAGCACCTAGTGAGCTGATAGCACAACCCATGGAGCACCTAGTGAGCTGATAGCACAACCCATGGAGCACCTAGTGAGCTGATAGCACAACCCATGGAGCACCTAGTGAGCTGATAGCACAACCCATGGAGCACCTAGTGAGCTGATAGCACAACCCATGGAGCACCTAGTGAGCTGATAGCACAACCCATGGAGCACCTAGTGAGCTGATAGCACAACCCATGGAGCACCTAGTGAGCTGATAGCACAACCCATGGAGCACCTAGTGAGCTGATAGCACAACCCATGGAGCACCTAGTGAGCTGATAGCACAACCCATGGAGCACCTAGTGAGCTGATAGCACAACCCATGGAGCACCTAGTGAGCTGATAGCACAACCCATGGAGCACCTAGTGAGCTGATAGCACAACCCATGGAGCACCTAGTGAGCTGATAGCACAACCCATGGAGCACCTAGTGAGCTGATAGCACAACCCATGGAGCACCTAGTGAGCTGATAGCCAAACCCATGGAGCACCTAGTGAGCTGATAGCACAACCCATGGAGCACCTAGTGAGCTGATAGCACAACCCATGGAGCACCTAGTGGCTGATAGCACAACCCATGGAGCACCTAGTGAGCTGATAGCACAACCCATGGAGCACCTAGTGGACTGATAGCACAACCCATGGAGCACCTAGTGAGCTGATAGCACAACCCATGGAGCACCTAGTGAGCTGATAGCACAACCCATGGAGCACCTAGTGAGCTGATAGCACAACCCATGGAGCACCTAGTGAGCTGATAGCACAACCCATGGAGCACCTAGTGAGCTGATAGCACAACCCATGGAGCACCTAGTGAGCTGATAGCACAACCCATGGAGCACCTAGTGAGCTGATAGCACAACCCATGGAGCACCTAGTGAGCTGATAGCACAACCCATGGAGCACCTAGTGAGCTGATAGCACAACCCATGGAGCACCTAGTGAGCTGATAGCACAACCCATGGAGCACCTAGTGAGCTGATAGCACAACCCATGAGCACCTAGTGAGCTGATAGCACAACCCATGGAGCACCTAGTGAGCTGATAGCACAACCCATGGAGCACCTAGTGAGCTGATAGCACAACCCATGGAGCACCTAGTGAGCTGATAGCACAACCCATGGAGCACCTAGTGAGCTGATAGCACCAACCCATGGAGCACCTAGTGAGCTGATAGCACAACCCATGGAGCACTAGTGACTGATAGCACAACCCATGGAGCACCTAGTGAGCTGATAGCACAACCCATGGAGCACCTAGTGAGCTGATAGCACAACCCATGGAGCACCTAGTGAGCTGATAGCACAACCCATGGAGCACCTAGTGAGCTGATAGCACAACCCATGGAGCACCTAGTGAGCTGATAGCACAACCCATGGAGCACCTAGTGAGCTGATAGCACAACCCATGGAGCACCTAGTGAGCTGATAGCACAACCCATGGAGCACCTAGTGAGCTGATAGCACAACCCATGGAGCACCTAGTGAGCTGATAGCACAACCCATGGAGCACCTAGTGAGCTGATAGCACAACCCATGGAGCACCTAGTGAGCTGATAGCACAACCCATGGAGCACCTAGTGAGCTGATAGCACAACCCATGGAGCACTAGTGAGCTGATAGCACAACCCATGGAGCACCTAGTGAGCTGATAGCACAACCCATGGAGCACCTAGTGAGCTGATAGCACAACCCATGGAGCACCTAGTGAGCTGATAGCACAACCCATGGAGCACCTAGTGAGCTGATAGCACAACCCATGGAGCACCTAGTGAGCTGATAGCACAACCCATGGAGCACCTAGTGAGCTGATAGCACAACCCATGGAGCACCTAGTGGGCTGATAGCACAACCCATGGAGCACCTAGTGAGCTGATAGCACAACCCATGGAGCACCTAGTGAGCTGATAGCACAACCCATGGAGCACCTAGTGAGCTGATAGCACAACCCATGGAGCACCTAGTGGGCTGATAGCACAACCCATGGAGCACCTAGTGAGCTGATAGCACAACCCATGGAGCACCTAGTGAGCTGATAAACCCATGAGCACCAGTGGCTGATAGCACAACCCATGGAGCACCTAGTGAGCTGATAGCACAACCCATGGAGCACCTAGTGAGCTGATAGCACAACCCATGGAGCACCTAGTGAGCTGATAGCACAACCCATGGAGCACCTAGTGAGCTGATAGCACAACCCATGGAGCACCTAGTGAGCTGATAGCACAACCCATGGAGCACCTAGTGAGCTGATAGCACAACCCATGGAGCACCTAGTGAGCTGATAGCACAACCCATGGAGCACCTAGTGAGCTGATAGCACAACCCATGGAGCACCTAGTGAGCTGATAGCACAACCCATGGAGCACCTAGTGGGCTGATAGCACAACCCATGGAGCACCTAGTGGGCTGATAGCACAACCCATGGAGCACCTAGTGAGCTGATAGCACAACCCATGGAGCACCTAGTGGGCTGATAGCACAAAAGCACCATGGATAGCACAACCCATGGAGCACCTAGTGAGCTGATAGCACAACCCATGGAGCACCTAGTGAGCTGATAGCACAACCCATGGAGCACCTAGTGAGCTGATAGCACAACCCATGGAGCACCTAGTGAGCTGATAGCACAACCCATGGAGCACCTAGTGAGCTGATAGCACAACCCATGGAGCACCTAGTGAGCTGATAGCACAACCCATGGAGCACCTAGTGGGCTGATAGCACAACCCATGGAGCACCTAGTGGGCTGATAGCACAACCCATGGAGCACCTAGTGGGCTGATAGCACAACCCATGGAGCACCTAGTGGGCTGATAGCACAACCCATGGAGCACCTAGTGAGCTGATAGCACAACCCATGGAGCACCTAGTGGCTGATAGCACAACCCATGGAGCACCTAGTGAGCTGATAGCACAACCCATGGAGCACCTAGTGAGCTGATAGCACAACCCATGGAGCACCTAGTGAGCTGATAGCACAACCCATGGAGCACCTAGTGAGCTGATAGCACAACCCATGGAGCACCTAGTGAGCTGATAGCACAACCCATGGAGCACCTAGTGAGCTGATAGCACAACCCATGGAGCACCTAGTGAGCTGATAGCACAACCCATGGAGCACCTAGTGAGCTGATAGCACAACCCATGGAGCACCTAGTGAGCTGATAGCACAGCCCATGGAGCACCTAGTGAGCTGATAGCACAACCCATGGAGCACCTAGTGAGCTGATAGCACAACCCATGGAGCACCTAGTGAGCTGATAGCACAACCCATGCAGCACCTAGTGAGCTGATAGCACAACCCATGGAGCACCCAAACACCTCAGACGTGTTGACGTTATTTGGGCGGGCAGATGCCGATCCTAGGCAGAGCGAGTGCGGGGGAGGAGAGAGAGGGATTCTGGTGTGGAGTTGACTTAAAAGATCTGCTTACTGGCTGAGAAAGCAATACCTGGAGAGCGAGAAGGGCGGGCAGGCTGCCGTCCCAGAGCAGGGCGATTGAGGGCGAGGAGAGAGAGGCATTCTTTGTGGGAGAGAGAAGCATCGGCTCCTGTGAGAGAATACAGACGATGCAGGTTGTGGGATGTGAGGGAATGAGTGCACGAGCGAGCGAGTGAGTGAGTGAGTGAGTGAGGAAGCGGGAAGAGAAGGTATTTACAGCAGCTCACAGATGAGAGTAAGAACGAGTAAGTAGCAAGGCATAGTCTCCGAACTCATGTAGCAGATCCCTGATAGGGCAGCTGACGTGAACGCATGCCTCACCGTGAGCGAGTTGGTCCGTAACATGAAGGCATTGGGGCGAACAGCATAGTGGCCGAAGGGACAGTGCCTGGAGGCATGGAGAAGAGTGCGCGAAGGAAGAGTGGGGGAAGGAGAAGCAAATGAAGGAAGAGTGAGGGAAGGGAGAGTGAGGGAAGGACTGGAGGGAACAAAGGATGGCACTGGTGCGCACAGCATAGTGGCCCAAGGGACAGTGCCTGGAGGCTAGTTTTGAGGCGCCTCAAAACTAGACTCCTATCACGCGGTTTCTATACAGAGAGGATTTTGTTGCATGGAAGGCTGGGCGTAACATTCGAAAGTTACTTGTGCGCGCGAGGCTCCCGAAGCTACCAGTTGGCGAACTGTGACTTTTACACGACATCACCTCGAGTACTGAAGACTTGACCCCAGGAATTTTCCAGGGTGCTCAGGATTGGCTGCCCAGATTTCAGCCTTGGTTGTTACATGCCTAGATTTTGGTACTGTCGAGGGGTTTTCTTGCTTAAGAGCTTCTCTTACTCGCTTGCATAGTTCCATTCTGCACTAATGAAGATGTTCTAGGGTCCTTACCTTAGACGTCGAAACATGTTTGCTTTAATCTTTTGAATCGGAACTGAGTTCAGTTTTATGAGATCTTGGCTATTACACGGGCAACTTGTGTATTTTACTGTCAATCTTTTTGCTAAAAGTTTCGATTAGACTGCTGCTCCCTTCTATCATGGCTAACAACGCTTGGAGTATCCCCACTGAAGAAGGTGATGCCGGTGTAAATGACACGAGTTACGCAATGATTCTTCGCCGGGAAGGTTACTCCTTAAAAACTTATGCGGACTATGGTGCCCACAAGCGCCTCCGCAAGAACGATGGAGCTTCGACCTCTGCAAATCCCTGCATCGAGGATCAGCATGACAAGCAAACTGTGGATCCTCCCGCCATGGCTACGAAAGAAGTCCCAAAGGCTGCTACGACTCGTGGCAACCCGACGACCGTCTTCGACTTGTCCATCACCATTCCGGAGCCCTTTAAGGGCTGGACGAGTGTGGCCGTCAAGGGTTCCGGACGGATTTCGAGGCCCTCTTGAAAGCGAAGTCTAAACTGAAGAAAATGAAGACGCTTGATAGCCAAGGTGTGATCTTGCACGGCATCCGCACCAAGGCGATCGAATTTCAGACCAAGTACCCGGGCACGCGGGAAAAGTCTGCAGCGTCTGTTGCGATGGTTCATCAGGATAACCAGAAGCGCCTTCAGGAGGACTTCATCAAGTCGAAGGAGTTGGAAATTGAGGAGATTCTGCTAGCTTCCGCTTCACACCTTACTGCTCTGGCGACCAAGCTCGAGGACTACATCCAAGGCCTCAGCACTGACCCTGACTTAGCCGTCTCTGACGCGGCTAATGAGCGATACCAGATCCTCAAGGGTACATGCGTGGAGAAGGCCAAGTCCGAGAACGCTGCCGCCAAAGATGAAACTGTCATCAAGGAGCTAGAGAGGCGGAGGTTCAAGTAGGCTGAAGATTTGAAGAAATCGGCTGCTGCTGAAGAACTGGAGAAGATGGAAACGGATTCGACATTCGAGGAGCTACTGGAGAAACGCGTGACGAAGCTCAAAGTCAAGATGCGCAAGGAATTCAAGATGCAACTTGATAAGAGTCTATCAGCGGCGTTTCAACGGGGCGTCTCGGTGGGACGACAGCAGGGTTTCGCGTCGACCACTGCGCAATCCAAGACAGCGGAGAACCACTCGAAGAACCAGAAGAACAAGTCTTCTGGAAGCGCGGCAGACGTACCAAAAGCTCGGAAGAAGTGCACGAAAGGCAAGAAGAAATCTCCAGCGAACGGCGACGACCAAGGGAAGAGCCATCCAACTACCTCGACTAAGGCTCAAGTTCCAAAAAACGGCGGCGGCGACCCAGGAAAAGGGCCGCGCAAGAACTAACAGCTCGGGATCTCGCACTCCGCTGGTTCGCACGCTTCACGCCACGCCAGGCTCAGTCTCGCATCGGGAATCACGGAGTTCACAACCTGAGTGCCAAGGTCTTATCTCTCGACGAGACCAAGGCACTCGGGATGGGTCTCAAGTTCATACCTACACCTGCCTAGAACTTTTCTATCGATGCGGACCTCGATCAACTGCATCGACGGATCTCCCTCGATTTTTCTTTAAGGACAAGGGACCTTCGACTTCATCTTGTTTCCGGGTGAAGAATCCTACTTGGAGGCCCGAAGGGGATGTTATCCTGGAGCAGGTGTTTAAGGAGGCTCGCGTTGACTTATCCTGTTTGTTGAAAGCGTCTAGACCTCTGCTCGGACTTAATCTCTCACGGGAAACCGCAAGGCCTTGCGCTCCCTATCACTCGACCACTCGATCGTCATCAAGCCTGCAGATAAAAATGTCGGCGTAACCCTGATGGATCGTCAACACTACCTCGTGATGTGCATGGAGCATCTCAACGACGAAGCTGTCTACGAGCCGAAATACTACGAGCCGACGCCAACTGTTCTGCTGCAGATGAGCGAGCTGAAAGAGTTGCGAGGACCTGCTCTTCCGGAAAGTTTATGGAATTTTTTCTTCGACAAACCTGCAAGGGGGTGGCGTCCTGCGGCGTTCTACATTCTACCGAAACTTCATAAGAAGATACCCGTGGGGCGACCGATCGCTGCTTCACACTCGTGGGTAACGACTAATGTGAGCTGATGGTTGGATGCGGAACTACGACCGCTCGTGCTTGAACGTGCTACCTACCTACGTGACTCCTTGTCTCTGCTGGCGAAGCTTGAAGAAACGGCCTTCCCGCCTCACATACTTCTCGCGACGTATGACATTACCTCGTTATACCCGAGCATCTCCATCGAACGAGGACTCGACGCGGTCAGCAATTTTCTCTCAAGGAACAACCAGCAGCTCGCATCTCCTATCATGGCCTTACTCGGATGGGTCATGAGGAATTCTTTCGTTGAATTTGATGATCGAGTATACCAGCAAGTGCGGGGCATGGCAATGGGAACTCCTGTAGTTGTCTGCTTCGCCATACTCTTCATGAGTCGTCTCGACGAGCTGCTGAAGGAAAGGTGGTCTGGGGTCTCACCGCTTTACCACGTCCGTTATACAGATGATGGCCTTATCATCTGGCCAGGTTCGCGATGGGATTTGGAGGAATACCTGCGAATTTTCAACGGCCTGGATCCCAACATCCGGATCACGTGGGAGATCTCAGAGCGTTCGGTTGATTTTCTGGACATCGTCCTTCACAAAGGACCTCATTTCAACCAACGTGGTATCTTGGACTTCCGTACATTGCAGAAGCCGATGAACCGGTACCTGTACCTGCCATTCTCCTCCTTCCACCCACGGAACTGTAAGGAGAGCTTTATCAGTGCGGAACTGAGGCGTTATCTACTGCGCTCTACATCTGCATCAGCTTTACTCACGATGAAACGCGCCTTTTTCCAGCGCCTTCGTGACCGTGGATACCCGCCCCGTTTCCTACAACCACTCTTCAGAGGTGTACTCTTCGCACAGCGTGCATCACTGCTCACCAACACTCTCGCCAGCCAGCTGCTGCGACAACATTCTCTCCCCTCTACCGCGGACCCCTAGTCTTGAAGACGACCTGTACACCTTTGCCAGCTCGTCTCGTGCTGGGGGTAGTTTTGAGGCGCCTCAAAACTAGACTCCTATCATGCGGTTTTTATACAGAGAGGATTTTTGTTGCATGGAAGGCTGGGCGTAACATTCGAAAGTTACTTGTGTGCGCGAGGCTCCCAAAGCTACCAGTTGGCGAACTGTGATTTTACACGACATCACCTCGAGGACTGAAGACTTGACCCCAGGAATTTTCCAGGGTGCTCAGGATTGGCTGCCCAGATTTCAGCCTTGGTTGTTACATGCCTAGATTATGGTACTGTCGAGGGGTTTTCTTGCTTAAGAGCTTCTCTTACTCGCTTGCATAGTTCCATTCTGCACTAATGAAGATGTTATAGGGTCCTTATCTTAGACGTCGAAACATGTTTGCTTTAATATTTTGAATCGGAACTGAGTTCAGTTTTCTGAGATCTTGGCTATTACACGGGCAACTTGTGTATTTTACTGTCAATCTTTTTGCTAAAAGTTTCGATTACACTGCTGCTCCCTTCTATCATGGCTAACAACGCTTGAAGGAAAAGCAAGGGAAGGAAGAGTGAGGGAAGGAAGAGTGAGGGAAGGAAGAGCGAGGGAAGGAAGAGTGAGGGAAGGAAGAGTGAGGGAAGGAAGAGTGAGGGAAGGACAAGAGGGAACAAAGGATGACGGCACTGGTGCGCACAGCATAGTGGCCCAAGGGACAGTGCCTGGAGGCAACGCGAACAGCGCATGGGGACGTGTGAGGGACACGTGGGAGGGCCGGATGAGCATAGTGGCAAGAAGTGAGGGCACGACAGGACCAGATGAGCCAGGGATCCGACAAGCCTCAAAACAAGAGAAATGTTTTAAGGGCAGGACGGGAAGCAATGAGCCGCATACTCTAGCATTTGGTCCCACTGGCCACATACTCGTCACGGTGTCAGGCCAAACCGCACCTGCATTTGTTGCCGCAGCAGCGGCCGGGCTTCAGCAGAGCCGGCGCTGTGAACACCGAATAGCCTGGCGGGAGAGAGACACACATATGAGGGACACATGGACATTCTGAGGTTTGACAAGTTTCGCAGTCAGCTGCAGCGGCCGGGTTTCAGCAGAGCCCGCACTGTGAACACCGAATAGCCTGGTGGGAGGGATGAGACAAGTGTGGGGGACACAGGGACATGTGAATCAGAACGGTAGCTGACAGTCTATTTTTTAGGCGCCTAGAAAATAGACTCCTCACACATGTGTATCAGAACGGTAGCTGACAGTTTCAGAATACTCATATACCAGCTGCAGCGGCCGGGCTTCAGCAGAGCGGGCGCCGGCGCCGGCGGGAGAGATGGGACACAAACGATGGATCATGGACACATGAACATTCCGATTCCTGAAAAATTGCCGAAAGAAAACGTGACTGGGCTTCAGGGGAGCTGGCGGCGTGAAGAAAGAGTAGCCGTGGGGGGAGAGATGGGCGAAATGTGAGGGACACAGGGACATTCTGAGCTTTGAGCAGACTCGCGATCAGCTGCAGCGGCCGGGCTTCAAAGAAGCTGGCGGCGTGACGGACATCCCCACATCTATATAACGAAAGGCGAACCTTTCGCCGGAAGGAAACGTTGTTCACTGGTTTCAGGGTCCACGTTTGTGGAATTCCCCGGCAAGCATTTCAAACGAAATGCAACTGACTCGCCAAGCACGTGACCTCATCCATTTGTACCCCCCGAGCCATTCGACGAAATTTAACTGACTCCCCCCGCACGGAAAAGGCCCTTCACCTGTGTCAGGGTCCACGTATGTCGAATTTCCCGCCAAGCACGCGCCGCGCGGTGAGCATCATCCACTTTCACCCCCAGATCCACTCAACGAAATGCAGCTGATTCGCCACACGGAAACGTTGTTCACCTGTTTCAGGGTGCATGTAAGTGGATTCCCCCGCCATGCATCAAAGCATGCCGCGCGGTGATCCTCTAACACTTCTACACCCTGATCCACACAGAGCGCGAAAGGCGAACCTTTCGCTAGAAGAGACACTTATTCACCTGTTTCAGGGTCTACGTAGGTGGAATTCCCCGCCAAGCACGCCGCGCGGTGGGCCTCCTCAATCTCTACCCCTAGATCCACTCCCCACACGCCGCCTCCTAGGATCTCCTCCTCACCCTCGTGCTCCTCCGGTTTCGCCGACATGGGGAATGCGAGCTAAGGAGCAGGAGATTCAAGGACGTAAGCTGCAGGTCGAGCTGGATCCGAATTAACTTCACCGGAAATAACAAGTCCGGTCAGTTCAACTGAACGAGGTGACAAATGGCGCTGTATGCATGAAGACAGATGGACTGGAGCAAATGCCAGTTGAGGTAAGGAGGATCGACGGCCGGATTGCCACGACGGAATTCTCAATGGGCATCCAGGGGCATCGCTTTTCGCGGTGCTGCTCGAGAATGTTCCAAGATTCTTGCAGGCGTCGACCAATCAGAGGAATGCCCCGTGGACAATTACACTCCCATTCTTTTCTTCCCACTTAGATTCAGGATACAGTAATAGGAATTCGTCATCCTTACTGCCTTAGCGCGTCCAACATATCGCTTTCCAGGACCTCGACCTTGGGCCCTCCCCCTGACGCCCAAACAATTCTCGTTTCGGCTCAACACCATACCCAACCGTTGCAGATCGCTCAGCGAACCGCATTCTGACATACTTTAGTGACACGCCCTAATGTTGCAGAAATGTTACACTGGTGTAACGTGAGATGATCTTGCACTTGAACGAAGTCCGCTGACGGTTACATCACCATGTTACCTGTTACAGACACGGGAGGGAAGCAAAAGCTATCTTGTCCCTTTCAACGACCGACCCAGCTCTCGATTGGAAAGACTGATCACAATTGAGGCCAACCGCGGAGCAAAAGCACAGCCGTCAATGATAATCCCAGCCAATCCGCGAAGTGATTTATGCCAAGTTGTCAAGCCACGTGGGTGCAGAGTGAGGCTGTGCACCGCTAGGGTTTCAAGTTTCGATCGACTTCGATGTCGAGCAGCCAGTTCCTTCCCAAATCGACGGCGGATGGTGGTTTGGTTGGCAGGCAGGCTCTCACAATGAGGCCAGGTCAGGGGTCTCTCGCCCGAACCCGAACCGAACAACGAGCCCTAACCTGTGGTACTGTTCAACAAACCCTACCCTGGCAGCAGGCCCGCTGCATCTGCTGCAAGCTTCTCATAGGGTCTACAGCAGCCCACTGTTGAACTGAAGACTTGCTGATTGGAGCAGATTTAGGGAGCCTCTTTTTTGTATGTTATGAACTTTGCTTCAGATTCCAGGACTGTGGGATATTTTATTCCGTAGATTGTTCCAATCACCTCGCTCAATGTTCGCCACAGCGAGATTGCTCCCTTGTTATTACGGCAGTGGTGATCGACCTCGTTTCTCTCTGCTAGGACATTTGTGAACCTGGTAAGGTTGAGTGCGAAGTCGTTTCGTTCGCACTGTAGTTGTTTGCAGTAAATAGTTTTTAGCGTGGCAAATTTCAGTTAGGTGGAGCTGCAGCAGTTTACACTGCAAAGGAGCATTGCTTGTCTGCAACGAGCAAGAATCCTCGGAAGCTTGAGGTATTCCTCTTATACCTTGTGGATTCCTGCCAGCTGTTGGAGGCCGAAATTTTTAGTGTGCTCTTGAGCACTTCTAAAATATGGATTAATCGAGTACCGCCTTTTTAACGTCAAAGTTGTGACCCGTATGTTCCTTAGGTATCGATCAGTATGTTTCGTTGTGTCTGTCTGCGGTCTCAAAAAACTTACTTCAATGCAACACATGTGATGTTACTTATGGGTCGTGCATGCTTACCGTCTTTTACTTCCATCTGATTATTGTGACAGTTTACCGCTTCGGGTGCGTTATTAATGGATGACGTCTGGCCCGCGTCACGCTTTTTCAGCGACGGTTGCAGTTCTCTGTACGAGAGGTCTGTGTTTGAGGGTCCAACTCTGAGGCACTTTCAGCAACAGCAACAGCAGAAGCAGGAGCAGCAACAGCAGTCACTGCAGCAGGTGTTGGAAATGCTGCAGAATACAAACCAGCCATATCAGCCTCTAGCTCAGCCGCAGCAGCTCCATCACCATCACCAGCATCAGCAACAGCAGCAACACATGTTCCTTGCTGATCATTCACATGATTTACCTGACAGCAGGTTTTCCTCACATTCCCTCCCTGAGGAGTCCGGATCCAAAATTTCCCACATGCTACCCGCATCATCGGAAATGTCGACGTTCCCTTTGGCCCAGTCCCGGCAGATAATGCCCGGCTTAGAACCCTCCGGATTAAATTCTTCAGGCAGGCTCGATAACTCTGGACGATTCTCTTCGTCTGTAGGCTACGATCCTTCTGACAGGCTTGAATCGTCTGACAGGTTTGAGTTGACATCTGCCGTCGAACATGACATTGCTGGGTTCGACTGCGCCGTGGAACATAACATCGCTGGATTCGATTCCTTTGAGAGATCGACGGGACCATCCGAGAATGCTCTTCCGGCTTTACAGGGGTCTCATGAGGCTATTCTGCCTGACACTGGACACTTAATGATGGTGGACATCCAAGATTTCTGCTGGGTGAACGAGAATTATTGTGTCAGGTAAGACACGGAGGACTATCACACATATGCGACGAGCAGTGCGTTGGCATGTTAAGTGTTTTTCAGCAATTTCGTGCAATTTTGTCATTGCGTCATCCATTGTTGATGTCTATTCGTGCCTTTTCCCTTCTGCTATGCTCTTCTCTTATCCACCTTCTCGGCATCCCCTCGCAGAGTGCATGTTCCGTTTCCAGGCGTGGACGCCCTTCCGCCTTCGTACATAACGTCTTCATTCACTATAAGCTCATTCTGCTTGCTGATAAGGGGTCTTCACGATAGTGTATGCTATCGTCTTGCACTAGACAGGTAACGTATTCCCCCGTACTCACACTGAATGGGGTGCTTCCTTCCCATATGTCCATGCAGCGCCTGGAAGTAGGCATCGTAATGTTTTTTTTCCATTGTCGCCCAAGAGTTGTATTTGTTGCCGAATCTGCCCATTTGATGTGTTTATCCTGCTGTGTCTTTTCTGTGGAAATACATTTTCTTCTTTCCGCATCTCATTATGTCCCTGCAGTCTGTATGGGGAGATTCAGCCTAACCTATGCTGTCACATGGTGCACAAGGACAAGATTGAGATTGCTCTGTCAAAAGTCACTTCAGGGCCTTCTGATGGACCTGACACGGATATCTTCACATGGTTCAGCCTCAGATTGTAACACCCAAGGTAGAATTATAGTTGTATGATTCAGCATCTGATGCAGATTGTGTATAGATGTGCAAACGATAGTTAAGTACGTTCCCCTTTTCCAAACCATAATGCTGCATGAGTTGCAGTTGTAGCGTAGCAGTAGCCAGGTAGTGACAAATGCCCCACAATGTAGGATTGGATGAGATGGCATTCACATCAATGATGGCTTTACATGTGCACAAATCTACTTGAAATTGGATTCGCAAACCACCTGACTATTTCAGACTCTACTGACATTTCCCAGATCCATGCAGTCTTCCATTGATACTGGAACGAACACAGCTACAGTATCTACACTTCTTGTGATGCTCATCCCTCACATGCAGCAACAAAGAACACATCCCTCTCACTCGCTGTACAGTAATATGTCTTCCACGTTATCGTGCTCCATTGCTTTCTACATACGATCCCTGTAACGTCATCAGCCACCGACAACACTTCTTGTAAGCATAAATATGTATATGTATTGTTCCAGGATAACAGCCCGCGGATCTGGCTGGCAATAACATAGAAAAATGTGTGGAATATGTATATGGGGGTTGTAACTGTTAGAATGCGATAATGATCTACTAGGAAGGGAAACCTAGTACATGTACCTGTTGGATTGTACTCACTAGAAGCACACACCTAGTATAGCCTATAACTTCTACATAGAACATATGTATAAGTTGACACACCCCCTAGGCTAGATAAGGGATGGAGCTAAACAAGAAGCACACAGCTCAGGGTGGCACTTCTAGTCCAACCACTGAGGTAGGGGTCCGGAGACTAGTCAGCAAGAGTACAAACAAGACTAAAGTAAGCCAGGGCGGCACTACTAGTCCAGCCACTGGAGGTAAGGCCACAAGGACAGTCAGACAGATATAAATAGTAGAGAGTACACAATCAGGGTCCTAACAAGTGAGAAGCGACAGGAACAAGACCAAGCAGGACACAATGCCGCTGATGATCTTTAGGCGCAAGCGCCTTGGTAAAGATATCAGCAGTGTTGGCACCGGAGGCCAAGTGAACTACGCGGGCCTGGCGACGCTGCTGTAGCTCGCGCAGGAGGAAGTACCGCAGCTGGATATGCTTCGCTCTGCCCTCAAGCCGAGGCTCCTGACACAGGAGAATCATGGCCCTGTTGTCAGCATACAGGACCCGGGCAGAGCTAGGCCGCTCACCTAAGTCTGTGAGCAAGAAGGTAAGCCAGCGGAGCTCCAGTGCCGCCATGGCACCAGCGTAGATCTTAGCCTCGCAGCTGGACTGAGCAACAGACGACGAGCGAGTGGATCTCCAAGAGATAGCACCCGAACCAAGGCTAAAACAGTAGCCCTGAGACGACCTGAGAGTCTCAGAGTCGTCTGCCAAAGAAGCGTTTGTGTGCCCAGTGAGGACCACTGGCCTGCGTCCTCCTGGCACTAACCCCATGCCCGATGTACTTGCAAGATAACGTAAAACCCTCTTAGCGGCAGACCAGTGCTGAGGTCGGTGTCTGCCTGTAGCCACAAAGCGAGCCAGGATGCTGAGAGGGTATGCGAGATCTGGGCGAGTGCAACTCATCAGGTATATGAGGCAACCCACCAGCTCTGCGTAGGGACCACTGGGCTCTACTGGCTCCTCAGGAACGGGAACGGAGAGCCCACGGTCTACAGGTAGAGGTGTGGGCTGTTCGGAGGAGAACTGAAGACCGAACCTCTGAAGGACCTGACGCACCAAGTGTGACTGTGTCAGATTGATAGTGCGTGCTGCTCTGTCCCTAGAGATCTGCAGGCCAAGATAGCGACGCAGCTCTCCACGGTTAGTGCAGGTGTGTTTCTTCAGCAGCTCGGCCTTCATAGAGGCCAGTGCGTCCCTGTTAGCAGTAGCGAAGACCAGGTCGTCTACGTAGACAAGGATGTAGAACGGAGTTAGGCCGGAACGCACAAACAGCGAGGGGTCAGCAGAGGACGGAAAGAACTGCAGGTCTGCTAACGTGGCCCGCAGCGTGTCGTGCCACTCGCGGGGAGCCTGGCGCATGTCGTAGACCGGGCGCCTGAGAAGCCACTGGGTCCTAGGGGGGAAGGTACCAGTGAAGCCCTGTGGTCGGCGCAGGTAGACCTGCTCGTGTAGGCTGCCCTGAAGAAAGGCAGTAGAAAAGTCGAGGGAGTGAAGCTCGTAGTCGTGCTGTGCTGCTACGTGTAGCAGCGCCCGAAGAGTGGTCATCTTCGGGGTCGGGGCGAAGGTCTGGAAGAAGTCAACCCCCTCGCGCGGACTGAAGCATCTGGCCATGTAGCGCGCCTTGAAGACAGGCGGCTCTCCAGGGGGGCGCTTCACCTTGAAGAGCCATCGACCATCGACTACATTCACCCCAGGCGGGGGAACTGCGTCGACGTAAGTGCCGGTGGACCTCCAAGATGCCATCTCCTGCTCCATGGCAGCTATCCACTGAGAGGCCCAAGGTCCCGAGGTGGCCTCAGCGTAGGTGCGAGGGGTCGGGATGTCGAAGGCGTCTGGGTCACCCTCAGGGACTAACAGCATGGAGCAGAGATGGGGAGCGGCCTCGAAAAGGAAAGCAAGCTCGTACTGCCTGTCCTCTAGAACGTCACTGCCAAGGGCAAAAGCACCCCCGACGGACGGAGGACGGGCAGGGTCAGAGACCAGAGGGGTAGCATAGTCAAGGCGGCGGGTAGAGGCGAAGTCAGCAACAGCAGCGACAAGCGAGTCAAGGCGCGAGACAGGAACAGACGGGTCGGTAACAAGAGAGGCAAGAACACGAGGGACAAGGGGACGAGCGACACGGAGGTAGTCAGACAACGGAGGAGGTGCAACAGCAAGCGACGAGGGAGGAGGGGACGGGAGGAGGGGAGGACGAGGCGAGTGGGAACGGAGCAACATAGGGTGGGAGCGCATGACAGGAGAGACGGGACGAGCACGGGAGGGACGTCGAAACCAAACGTGGGACGGAGGTGTAGGGTCAGAAGACAGCGGAGGGGACACATGAGGGGAATGAGGAGGAAGACAGGCCGGAGACGAGCGGGAACATATGACCGTAGACAGGAAAGTCAGAAGGCGGTGGGGAAGACACCGGCAAGCGGTCAGGGGAGGGAAGCCCGAGCAGGCGGAGAGCGGAGACCGGCGGCGACGGCTGCTGCTGCTGCTGCGACGGCTGAGCCGCAACCCTCGGACCGGCAGGGGCAGGAAGACCGCCGGCAGAACACTCAACAGCAGCACCCCCAGAACCAACACCCTCAGAGCGAGAACCCCCTCCAACATCAGCGGCACCCCAAAGAGCGGCAGGACGAACACCCGCCTCAACGCCAGCACCCCCAGAGGCCAAGAGCGGCGGCGGCAGCGGCGGCGACGGCGGCGGCGGCGGCGGCGGCGGAAGCGGCGGCGGCGGCGGCTGCGGCGGAGTCGGCGACGACGACAGTGGAGGCAGAGACACCGGGGAAGGGGGACGCGGCAAGGACGGGCCGGGGGTACCACCAGAGTCAGCAGACTCCTCAACGGGGACAACCGACGGGAGGGGAGTGATGTGAGAGACACCAAATTGGGCAAGACGAGGCGGGAGAGGAGCAGGGGCTACTGGGGGAGAGGGAGCAAGGAACAGGGGCGGGGCAACCGGGAGACCTCGGTGAGGGAAGCGACGGTAGAAGGAGATAGACTCGTCTAAGGTGACGTCACGAGAGTGGAGGAAGCGGTGAGATGGCGGGTGGTAGAAAAGCCAGTCAGACGAGTCCAGGGGGAAACCGAGGAAGACACAGGGGACAGTGCGGGCAGTGAGCTTGTCCTTGCCAGAGGCACGAACGTGAGCCAGGCAGCCCCAGACGTGGAACGCAGACGCATCACCAGGGGACCCGGTCCAAAGGAGGGTCGGCGAAACCTGCGGCCGCAGGGAGCGGGGCCACAAGTTAAGATGGTGAGCAGCGTAGCGAACAACGAACGGCCACAGAAAATGGGGAGCATCAGCATGAATCATGGAGGTACGAGCAACCTCCATGACCAAGCCGATGCGGCGCTCAGCAACCCCATTCTGCTGTGGCGAGTCCGGCAAGGTGTACGACTGGGTGATGCCCTCCGCACGACAGAACTGTCCAAGCCGACCAGAGGTGAACTCGCCGCCACGGTCAGAGTGGAGACACAACACGGGGAGACCGCGGTGAAGACGTGCAGCCATAACCAATGGTAAAAGAACGTCGGGCACGTCGGCCTTCCGCTCTAGGCGAAACACCGTGGTGTAGCGCGTGTAGTCGTCAACGAGCACAAGGAAGTAGCGCTCACCACGCGGTCTGGGGACGGGGGCAGGGCCCCAGACGTCCAGGTGTAGGGTCCGTGGTGCAGTAGCAGGGCGCAGCGAGGAGGAGTGAGGAGCACGGCGGAGCCAGCCCTCGATGCAGGGCGTGCACGGTGGCGCAGTCGAGGGGGGAAGGGCAGGGAGTAACGCGGGGAGGCCTAAGACAAGACCGTGCTGAGATATGTGACGTAGACGAGGGAGAGCAGGGTGACCTAAGCGGTGGTGCTACAGAAGGGATGGGTGAGTGAGGGACCGACACGAGCAAGCTGCGGTGACATGGGAGGACGCACCAACCGGGGGAGAAGCGGTGTCTAGGGTGAACAGACCGGACACCGGGTCCCGGGGGAACGTCGCAAGGGGGGAACCTGAGACAGTCTCAGAACAGACAGCGAACCGCTCGTGCCCGGGGAACGTAGTGGTGACGCCGAGGTCCTAGAGACAGCCGACACCAACCAGGTTCCTCGAGAACGAGGGAACGTGGAGGCCTGTAAGGGAGCCCGAGGGAACTGCTGGACAGGGTAGGGAAGTGGAGCTGCGGGCGACGACAGGACCCGCAAAGGGGTCGGCGAGAGAGACAACAGCAAGCGCAGCAAGCGGCGTGAGCGTGGAACGGTCGCGGAAGAAGCAGGCAGAAGCACCGGGGTCGAGAGTGAAGGACAGCGAAGCAGTGGCGGAGGCCGGGAACGGAGCCGGTGCAGAGACAAGGCTAGGCAGTCCTACGCCTGACGCAGCAGGGGAGGCTAAGGTACACAAGGGTGCAACACCTAAGCTAGAGTACACAGGGTAATAAGATCCAGCAACACTAGAAGCGTCGGAATACAAGGCATGCAAAGCAGCACCTATCTGATCCATGTCTAACTCAAAGATCGGCACGCCCTGGCGGAGCAGGCTGTGCCAGTCG